TGAAATCATATATGCTATTTTAGGGGGTCCGATTTTCAAAATAACGCCCATGAGCGTTATTCCGAGTTTATACGGTAGTAATTTTATATATATAATGAACTTTTTTTTTAAAAAATTTTGAGTTTATTATATCTAGAGTCCATTATAGAAAAGTTTGTTATACCTAGAGTCAATCGTAAGTTGATATTTTTTAGTCTGGGAGTTTTAAAATTCTTCTAAGTTTTTTAATTGCAGTTTGTTCTCTATCAATAGATTCATCTTTAATTATAGCTCTTTTCTGCCTATTTTTTAAATGAATATTAGATAGTTTGTCTAAAGTGAGTGAAGTTTCAAAAGTTTTAGGTCCTGAAAGTTGTATTCTTGATTCTTGTAAGCTTATAGATATATTAGGATGAATTTTAAGATTATATTTATTGAACATTCCCTCAAGATGTTGCTGATGAATAATTATAGACCAAATTTTATATTTGATAAAATTATATATTAGTGGGTAATTATGTATTTCAGTATAGGTAGATTGTGAAAAGGCTAAAAATTGTTCTTGAAAATCGTTATCTTCTAATGCTTGAAACAATCCAAAAGATTCTTGTTTCTTTGTTTTCAAATCATTTACTAGTTCATTAATATATTTTTTTTGTATTTCTGTAAAATTATCTGAAACTTGAATATTTAATATAACTTTAATAATTGCAACTGCAAAATTAGAACCATGAATTTCTCCAAGACGGCATATAGAAAGAGGTAAATGTGTCCATGGGTCCATCCATTTTTTAAATGCTTCTAATGCTTTTACTAATCCATTTTCAATTCTATTTGTTAGATCAATAAATTCATCTTCAGATAAAATTTCATAGGCCAATAGTAATTCTTCTACAAAGACTTTATCTGGATGTTTACTAGCTATTTGTAATTTATTTATCTATTGTTCTACATTATCTGGCATTTCACCTGCTCTAAATCCATTTGGAAGGTTTGTAAAATTTGTATCTCTGCCAATTAAAAAAAAACATTTTTTCATAAAACCATTCACCAAAATGAGCTATAATTTGTATTTCTATATTTAATTTTTCATTTTTTAAAAAGTTATAAAATGGTTCCCATTTTTCTAAATAACTATTAGGAACATTTTTTGATATTTTTAGTTGATTAATAAACCAAACAGAAAATTGAAGATGAATATCTTTTTGACTTAAATATTGTTTAGCTGTAGTCAATTGATATAACCAATGGGTGGAAATAAGTTTTTAATATTTTTTAAGATTATAGTTCATTATTGTTTTATATAATTCATTAATTATTTCTGTTTTCATATTCAGTAGATTATCTTTATCAGATTCATTGTATCCACAATGAAGATAATAGGCTAAGTTAAGAACATTAGATGGGTGCGGTTTTAAACAAATTCCAGATAGTGATTTAGTTTTTCCAAATGTTGTATTATTAAAATATACTGAAGCTATATGTAATGCATGTAGTCCACAAGGTATTTGAAAAGCTTTAGCAGAATATTGTTTATTAAATTTAATTACAGCACCACCTGTTAATCCAGATATATAAGCCATATTATCTGTAAGCCAATATTAACACTAAGTTGGATTTAATGAATTTTTAATAATAGCTTCTCCAACACTCAAAGATACTGTTAATGCTGAATACTGATCTAAGTCCTTCATATTAAGAATAGTAAGCATTGGTTCTTGTTTTTTTTCATTCCAATAAGAGACACATACTAAAAATATTTTTTTTTTCCTCTTGTACTTTTATTTGCTAGAATACCATATGAACTAAATTGGCTAGAGAATTGAGGTAAATTTTCTTGTACAGAAATTTGTGCTACTTCTTTTGTCCAATGTGATAAAGTACTTGTAGATAACTATGACTGAGGAGAATTACCAGTAAGAAACTTTGATATTTCTTTTGTACACTGTACTGTCGATGCTATTGACATCTGACCTGTTGTGCTTAAAGTTGTAGCTAATGAAACAAATTCAGATGTATATGTACGATCATTTTGTTTAAATTTTTTAATGATTGCTTGTTCAATATTTTTATCTGAAACTTTTCTTCTTTTTCAAACAACAGATCTAATTTTGGATATATGTTTATTTCTATATTGTTTAAGGCATTTAAGTTTGCTTATTAAAGATATAACTTTGTAGATTAAATTTTGTATTTTTTTTTCAAATTTGAGTTTTCAATCTTTAATGATTTAATTGTTTCTTGAAAATTAAAGCTAGATTGGCCTTGACTTGTGCGTACTAACTCTACAGCTTTTTTTTTGTAAATAAGGTGATAAAATCTTTCCTTTATATATTCCGGTTTGATATACCATATTACTAAATAACTGAGAACCAGCTATTAGTTCTTTTTTCAGATAAATAATTGATTTTTGCTATCAAATCTTTTTTTATTCGTAAAATAGTTAATTGAGCAGTTGAAATTTGTTGCTGATTATCCACTTCTTCAATTTCTAATAGATTAAATGAATTACTTTCAGTTGTAATTAATTGAAAAGTTGGTATTTGTTGTTGATTAGTTGGATTTGAAGTTTTAACTAAGATTGATGGTTTGGATATTTTTGCAAGATGTGCATTTTTACAACTTTTACGAACTTTATTTAAGCGAGGCATTTTATTAATTTAAAATGAAATATCAGTATAAATATATATGTTTTTGTAACAATTTACAAATTTAAGTTATAATGCTATTATTAATATATAAAACATAAATCATTTAATAAACAGCAATTATTACATAAATATTTTAGTGTTTTCAAACAAAAAACTCTAATCTCCCTATCTATTGTCTAACTATTGTTATAAAAATAGCTCATCACTTATAAGTATTTTATAATCTATTATTTATTTCACGTAAATTCTGGTTTTGAGCACAATTGTCTCCGGATATAATTGCAATTGTTCTTTATACATTATAAAGCAAATTATTAGTGATCTATAAGACGCTTTACTAATAATGATCAGATATTTAGATAGCTATTTAAGAGAAGATCTAAATTTTTAGCTAAAACATTTTTATCTAACCTTTTTATTAAAACACGATTATTTCTTGATATAAAAGGTAAGTCTAATTTAAAAAAAGAACAAAGTTTACTAATTATTTGTCTTATATGAATTTAACAATTATTTCTATTAACTAAATATAGAAACAAATTATTAACAAAGCAGTAGAAATAATTCTATGTTAATTTCACTATAACTAAATAGCAAAACATATATGCTAACATGCGAAAACACACAGCAGAGAATTTAGTATCTAAAAACTTTTTATATGTAGAGAGTCAGATTGTTTAACAATATGATTGATGCAAAATATAATTAACCTGGTTTGAGCTAAACAACATGTTCGTGTAGTGCTCTAATCAATAGAAAAGAGATAGGTCTTGGCTGAAACAATTGGGTTTAATGCATAAATTTGCATATCCATTATACCTTTAATCTTATTTAAGGTATAATTTTAATTTATCAAACAATTATCTGTCTCTAGCTAAAGTTCAATTCTACTAATTAGCCCATATGACATATTATCTCTTAAACCGTCAGGTTTAGCGTACAAATTTGTACGCTAAAATATTTTGAAGAAAATTGAGCATAAAAAAATTTTTTTTTATAAAACTTCTATTCTAATTGGCTGTAGTAATTTTTTAAGACCTGAGTTACATGGCACACC